TGACACCCTCTGGTCGTCTCTGCCTCCTGCTGACACTAAACCCGCCCCACTCAGCCCTGCCTTCCCTCTCTCCACAGGGCATGCCCCCGATGACCCAGGCGCCCCGCATCATGCACCACATGCCTGGCCAGCCTCCCTACATGCCGCCTCCTGGCATGATCCCACCTCCAGGCCTGGCTCCTGGCCAGATCCCGCCAGGGGCCATGCCCCCTCAGCAGCTTATGCCGGGGCAGATGCCGCCTGCCCAGCCTGTAAGTGTCTCCTTCTCCTGGGGTCTCATAAACAGCTAGAACATGGGACTAGAAAGGGACGGGTGGGGGGGTCTGTTGTAGGGAAAGAGAAGGATTGTTGGAGGAGCTTCGGTGAGGGTGAGGCTGGAGTGGCGACCAGAACCTAGTTTGATTCGGTGAATTTCTGGGGAGCACCTGCTGATGGATACAGCAGTGCTCTTAGTGGCTTGTAGGCTGGTGGGGGCAAGGTGGTGTAGACAGGCAACATCAGCGATGTCAGGTGAAGGGGGCAGAAAGAATTCAAGCGGGGTGGGGGTGGGAAATAGGAAGGCACTAGGTCCCCCACTAGACTCATGGGCTCTGTCACTTCCTTGCAGCTTTCAGAAAATCCACCAAATCACATCTTATTCCTCACCAACTTGCCCGAGGAGACCAACGAGCTCATGCTGTCCATGCTTTTCAACCAGTAAGTGGGGCCAGTAGCTTTGCAGGGGCCAGAGGGCAGTGGCCAGGAGATGGCACCATGGGGGGGCCAGGCCTCAGAGTTCTGCTGTGGAGCCCTGAGCCTGCTTAGAATTTGTAGGCAGGACAGTGACTAGAGGCCTAAAAGGTGGAAACTGAGGCCAGGCCCACAGCCTGAGGAGGTATGGTAGTGGCAAGCCTAGGGTATAGCAGTGCGGAACCTTCCTCGACTTCGTGAGGGGTGGGGGAGTCCCTGGGCCTCCTCTTTCCAGCCTCTAAATCAGAAAAGTGCTTGGTGTGTATAAAATAATGGCAAGGTGGCATCGAGCACTGGCTAGAGGCCCGAATTGTCTGCAAAATCAAACTGCGTTGGTGGGGGATGGGGATGATTGAAACCTCATGTGCTGGTAATGGCCTGTTGCGTTCAGTGAAGCAAGGGGTATGTGCTCACCTGGTGACCCTGCTTCTGATCTTAATATCCTAAAGATATTCTTAAGGTGAGTCCCAAGGGATGCGGATGGACCTCATTCCTCCGGGTGGTGGGGAGTTGGAGCCAGCCTGGGGAAGAGGGAGAGGTCAGACGTGCTACTCGCTGTGGCCTGCTCTGGGGCAGTTGGAAGAATAGAGCAGCACGGATGGTTCTTTGTAACACGACAAGGAATTTTGAGAAACTCCGTAAGACAGAAAAAAACAGTATCGCACGGATATCCTTCCGTAAAACAGTATGTATTTTGTAAGAACAGCGGCAGAAGAAAGTGTACCCAGCAAGCATGAGGATGGTTGCCCAATGGGGAAGGAAGTTAGGGAAGAGAAGGGGGAAATGAGAGAAACAGCGGATCAGAAAAAGTCAGGGTAGTGTTTATTTCTGGAACGGAGTGGGTGGGTTATGATTGGGGAAGGACATGGGGGCAGTGTTCTGTTTATTTTTTTATTTTTCAAAGATTTTATTTGAGAGAGAGAGAGAGAGAGAGCCCAGGCTGGGGGAGGGGCAGAGGGAGAGGAAGAAGCAGACTCCCCGCTGAGCAGGGAGCCCAATCCGGGGCTTGATCCCAGGACCCTGAGGTCATCACCTGAGCCGAAGGCAGATGCTTCGCCGACTGAGCCACCCAGGCCCTCCTCTGTGTCCTGTTTCTTGATCTAAGTTGTGGTTGCGTAGGCATAGGTGTTCATGTTAAAATATTTCCTTAAATGACACGTTTACTTTGTGTGTGCTTGTTTAGGTTAGGGTTCCTCAGCTTCACACTGTGTGCATTTGGGGCTGGATAATCCTTTCTTACTGCGCATTGTAGGATGTGTAGCAGTATCCCTGGTTTCTAGGCTCCCAATGCCAGAACATTTTGGGGGAGATGCCAAGTCTGGATCCCTGAGGTTTTCTTCCCTTCTTTCAGGTTCCCTGGCTTCAAGGAGGTCCGACTGGTCCCTGGGCGGCACGACATTGCCTTTGTGGAGTTTGACAATGAGGTACAGGCAGGGGCTGCTCGTGACGCACTGCAGGGCTTCAAGATCACCCAGAACAATGCCATGAAGATCTCCTTTGCCAAGAAGTAGCACCTTTTCCCCCTGCCTGCCCCTGCCCCCTGTTCTGGGGCCACCCCTTCCCCCCCCTTGGCTCAGCCCCCTGAAGGTAAGTCCCCCTCGGGGGCCTTCTCAGAGCCGTGTGTGAGTGAGTGGTCGCCACACAGCATTGTACCCAGAGTCTGTCCCCAGACATTGCACCTGGCGCTGTTAGGTTGGAATTAAAATGGTTTTTTTGAGGTTCGGTTTTTCACAGCCATTTGTCGTTTTTATTTTCTTGTTCTCTGTGCCGCCTTTTCTTGCACATCAGAGTATTCTGGGTGTTTGGACCTCCTAGCATGCTGGGGTTTGCAGCCTTGGGAAAACACAGAATAATGTAGTAACTTTGTCTAAGCTTCAGGCATCTTTACTAGTTTGGAAAACTTTCTGTTTTGTCTCCATCAGCATTCAGAGCAGGAAATTGAAACCCAGGCTGCCATGTGCAGTTGGGCAGGTTGTGTACTGCACAAGGATGCCACCCACCTTTAAGGGGACACTATTTGTAGATTCGTATGTTTTTTCCTAACCTGATAAGAGTGTTAAGAAAGGTTTTTCTTCGCCTTTTTTGAATCTTCACAAAAATGCCTTCTGTCATAGCGACAGTCCCCAGAAACCACGCTAGATACTTCAGGAAGAAAAGGAAGGGAACTGGGTGCTCAGGAATTCATTGGAAGGATAGAAGGAGTGGTAGCCTGGGTTTGAGACACTTGAGTTGAAGTTTGCAATCTCTGATTGAGCTGCAGTCTGGACTTCAGGAAGGCGCCAGTGCTGCTGATGGAAGTGCTCCGCCCACATGGGAAGCCACTGACCGGGCACAAAGGGTGTGGCCACTTCAAACACCGCTAATCTTCCCTGCTGGCCACCCGCCAGCCAGGATCCTCGGGCAGATGCCTGAACCACGTCCTGCAGTCCTCTGGCTGCAGGGGAATCTAGGAAATGGAGTTTCTGATTGGACAGTCACTTAATCTACCTGAAGATATGGATAAGATGGGAGATCAAAGGAGGGACCTTCTTTAGCAGTCTCTTAACAAACCTGATTCTGGAAAAAAAAAATTTTTTTTAAAGATTTTATTTATTTGAGAGAGAGAATGTGGAGCGGGGGTAGAGGAAGAGGGACAAGCAGACTCCCTGCTGAGTAGGGAGCCTGACAGGGTACTCGATCCCAGGACCCTGAGATCATGACCTGAGCTGAAGTCAGACGCTGGACCAACTGAGCCACCCAGGCGCCCCTGGAAATTTGATTGACTCAAAAATACATATATTGCTTAAGACCCTTTCTCAGGTCATGTACATAGAAAACTGAGATCATTTGCCAGAAGCAGAAAATTGACCACAAAAATAAATATTAGAAGAGCGTTAAATTCTATCTGGTCATCTTCTGTAAAGGCTCTAAGCCCAAGCCTGCTCCTGCTATGTTCTTTTCTGTTAAAGAGGAACATCATCCACGTTTGCAGTGATACTTAAGCACCAAATACAGTCTTTCTTCTTGTAGGATCTGAAAGACTGAAAGGAGAAAGGGATTGTTGTCTCCACTAAGAGGCAGGCCTTATTGCCGATGGCAAGTGGAAACGCCTCGCCCACCACACTGGCAACCACAGGTTCTGCGGTCAGTAGATCCTGGTTTTTATTGTCTGCCTGGTGGACCCCCTAGCTGTTTCCCATGAGCAGCTGATGTCCCGACTCCGAGCTTCGTTTTCTTCCCGTGTAAGGGAAGAATTCCTGTATGTTAGTACTGTGGTATTCATGGTTGATACATGCCACCACCACCAACACACACCCACTGTCAGGCCCCCAGGAGGCACTATAAACTCAACAAATATTTGCCGAGTACCTGTCGTGCTAAATACTCTTCTTGGCACAGGACGCGCAGTGGTAAATGAAATCGACAAGCTAACTGCAAATACCCTGTTCTGATAAAACAACTGGGGTGGTGGGGCTGGGGAACAGTCTCGGGTGATCAAGGAAAGCCTATCATCAGACGTGACTTTGGAGCAGGGCTGTTTCTCCCATCCATGGTGGCGGTGCTGGGTGTTGGGTGCGTGGAAATGGCTGAGGTCCAGGCTTTGCCCCTGATGAATTCTTCCCCACCCTCAAGCCCATGTGCGCCCAATCCACTTCCCCCTCACAAAAGTTTGGACTTGAGGCCATAGGTGAGAATGCCCGAGGCCGGGAGATGGCCACCCAGCAGAATGACCTTGGGCACGGGGATCATTGGAGATGCAGTTTTAGAGGTTGAGACTTGAGTTCAAATCCCCCCTCAGTTTTCTCCTGACCTTCAGCAGCGGACAACTCCACGCTCAGTGAGTGACGGGTGTGGGCCTGGAGCCAAATCTGGCCCCTCCGTTCCCCGGCTCTAACCTTGGGCAAGTCTCTGAAGGCTGTCCCCTGCCATTTCAATGGCGAGTGGGGTTATAACAGCCCTCTTAAGGTGACGCAGAGTGTCCCTTTGAGTTAATAAGATAAAATTTAGTGCTCTGTTAAATAACTGTTAGCTTTCCTGGTCCCTATTTTAGTAAGGCGAGGCTCTTAGAAGAGAAATCGCTCAGCCCAGATCACCCAGTCAGGAAGTGGCTTGTGAAGATAAATAGGGATTATGGTAGACCATTGCTAGCCGTAAGCCCCAGCATAAAATACTTGGTTCTTGAGAGTGGGGGCTGTTCCTGGCGATCAAAAGGCTGCCTTGTTCTGTCCTTGAGCACAGGAAATTCCAAGGTAGTTTCTGTACTAGCTCCCTGTTTTCTGTTCTTGGAGGGGGCAGCGGAGGGGCCCAGGTACCCAAGCAGCCTCAAGAGAAGATGGGATTAAATGTCTCAACCTGCCTGTCTGGGCCTCTGATTGTTGAGGAGGTTGGGGGGGTGGCTGTCACTTGGAGTGGCCTGGGCTGCTTTGGGCCTATCTGGGCGTTTCCTTGGGCAGGCAGCCCTCACCCTGTCCTTGAAATGGTTCTGGCTGGGTAGCAGCCTCTAGGTGTTGTGGGCGAAATTTGGGACTGGTTAAGGGCGGAGACAGGACCGAGAACACAGGTTTCCTTGTGTTGCTGGAGAGAGGGAGGGCAGAAGGAAATTGGAGACCCCATTTCCCCCTCGGTCACTCTCTTGTTTGGAGTCCATGATGGCTGGGTTGCCAGTGTTCCTCGGTGTCCTCATTTTGCTGTCTGCCTTCCCGGGGCCTAGTGTCGGGGGCCGCGCCATGCCCAAGCTGGCTGACCGCAAGCTCTGTGCCGATGAGGAATGCAGCTGTAAGAGTTGGGGGTTGGGGGGCCTGGGGGCTTGGGCTGCCAGCCCATCTGGAGGGTTCTGTCATTCCCTTCTATTCCTTCCCCAGACCCCATCTCCATGGCCGTGGCCCTTCAGGACTACGTGGCCCCCGACTGCCGTTTCCTGACCATACACAGGGGCCAAGTCGTGTATGTCTTCTCCAAGCTGAAGGGCCGAGGGCGGCTCTTCTGGGGAGGCAGTGTGAGTCTTGGGAGAACAAAAGAGGAAGGGATATGGGGCTGGGGTGGGAGTACACCCTAATTTTCCACCCAAAGGGAAAATTTGAGGGAGTGGACTGAAATAGTTTGGTGTGGGGGTGGAGCCAGGGGTATTGTGATCTGCTTGGTTTTTACCTTGTTGAGCCATTATGGGGCACCCACTCTAGTACCAGGCCCTGTTCCAGACCCTGAAGATACGACAGCGAATGATCCCTTTTATTCTAAAGGAAGGAGACAAGCCATCAAAAAGTATCAGCGAATACGTGCTCCTCTGAGAATTAATACACACTGACTGGGTGGCTACTTCAGGTGGTCAGGGAGGGCCTCCCTGCGGTGACTGTAGGCTGAGATCTGAGTGACAAGGATGGAGCCAGCCATCTGGAGATCAGGAAGAAGAAAAGTGCTATGATCTTCAGCAGGAACAAGTCTGCCATCTTCCCAGACCCAGGCTTTGCATTCTTCCTCTCCAGGTTCAGGGAGATTACTATGGAGATTTAGCTGCTCGCCTGGGCTATTTCCCCAGTAGTGTTGTACGTGAGGACCAGACCCTGAAACCTGGCAAAATCGATGTGAAGACAGATGTGAGTGTCTTGGGGGCTGGCAGGGATCCAGAGGGAGGACCCTGGGGTTGTGATGATGGACAAAGATACTCCTGCTTTCGCCTCCCTGGCAGCGTAGCTGTGTGCTCTAGGACAAATTCCCAGCCTCAGTTTTCTTATCTGTAAAATGGGGAGTGATTTTTAAGTCCCTGTCAGGTTGAGAGGGGCAAAGATCAGGGGGCTCTGGGCTAATTTGCCTAGCACATGTTTGGCCAAACCTGGCCCCTGCCGCTACAGCCTTTGCTAAAACTACTAGATCCTTTGTGGTGCGACCGCTGGTTTTCTCCCCATTGTTTTCCCTTTCTCTTTTTCAGAAATGGGATTTCTACTGCCAATGAACACAGCCTACCACTGTCCCTGCTGTTTTTTTCTTCAAGGCTTTATGCAAATATATCAGCCAAGTGCAAAATGCGGGTCTCTGTGGTCTTTGGGGGGGGGGCGGAAGGAGGTGTAACAAAGGAAATGTTTCCCCAGCTTCCTGAATTTAGCCAGTCAGCCCCCTGACTGTGGTAACGTCAGTGGTTGCTAGGCAGAGTTCCACAGACTAAAAGCTCTTTGCTCCATGCTGGGTACCGGAGGTGGGCTCCTAAGCTTAGCTATCACACACAAGCAAATGAGAAGGCGGAATAACCCGAACAGCCCGGTTGCAGGTTTTAGTATCCTCTCTAGACCTCCCTCCCACTCTCTAGTGGGAGGGAGTTGAACTATTGGGAATAAGCCAACCGGACCGTGAGGAAGACATAAATCACAGAATAGAGGTTTTCGTAGAAGATCATCTGCAAAGGGAGGTGGGAGGTTAGCGTGCGCGTATCCCCCCCACCCCCGAGTTTTCGTCTTTTTTGCCTTTGAGGTCAGAAAGAGCGCTCGCCAGCTCAATATCCGCTCTTCTTCAGGGTCTTTCTGTCAATCCTGTCCATGCCCCCTTTGCAGCCATGTCCCCGCCCCCGGGTCCGCTCCTACCCAATCCAGAGTCTCGACTCTTCACCCGTACTCCTGACCAAATCCGTTTCTCAGCTCGGCTAAACATCTCCGTACGGTCCATTCCCACTTGCTCCGCCAATCGCTCGTCTTGGTCCCTCCCCCACTAGCCCGTCCCCTCTCACGCCGCCAATCTGCGCCTTTTGTCCCGCCTCCTGGCCGTCGAGCTCGCCAATCCCTGCCTTTGGGAAGCGTGGCCTGGTATCCCGCAGCCCTAGCGGGTCGCGCCGTAGGGGGGTGGAGGCGGAAGTGGCGGCGCCGGCCCCGGGAGTAGGAAGGAGCCGGGGCTGCAGCCGGAGTGGAGCGGCTGCCCGCCGAGGAGCAGGCGCGGCCGCGGCGCCATATTGCGGCCCCAAGCGGCCGCGACCGAGTCATGGCCGAGACCTACGGTGAGGGTGGTGGGCCGAAGTCGGGGTCTGGGGTCTGGGCCCAGGGAGGATGCGGCCTTTGGGGAGTGGGGCGGGGCCTTATGTGCCAGGGGGCGGGGTCTGGCATGGGGCAGGACCTAGTGGATGCTGGGAGGGGTTTAGTGGGTCCGAGGCTGAGCTCCATCGATTTGGGCGGAGCCTGAGGGTCTGGTGTGTGGGTTAAATAGATCTGGGGCGGGATTTGAGGCAGCCAGCCTTGATGGACCTGCTCAGGCCTGGAGGGAAAGGGTGAGTCTTAATGTGTCGGGGCGGAGCCTGAGTGGATGGGGTGGGGCTGACTGTGTGAATGGCAGGGCTTGAGGATGGTGGGCTGGGAGAACCCTGAGGGGATGCTTGTGGACCCCGGGACTGCTCTGGCTTGAGAGGTCTGCAGTGGGGTTGGGGATGAGTTGTCCTTGAATTAGGTGGTGGGAGGGACTAGTGGCAAGGGGTGGGGCTTAAACTTAAAAAACGGGCAGTACCTTGGGTAGAGGGAGGGACGGAGGGACCGAGAATTGGAAAATCTGGATGGATGGATGAAGAGGAGGTGGGAGGACAGGGTGCGGTAGAAGCAGCAGTAGTTTAAGAGTGAGAAGGAGCTACATTCTTCAACAAGTAGAGAAAAGCCGAGGGAACAAGTGTAAAGATCCTGAGGTGGGAACCAGCTTGCAATTTTCAGGGAGTAGACTGAAGGCCAGGGTGGTAGGAGGTGAAGTCATGAGGGGCAAGGGCAAGGCTGTAGTCCTCGATAAGATGGCTCTCAAGAGGCTTTAACAAGGTAATAGCTAAGCTTTTGAAGTCTGGAGCCAGTTGACTTGGGTTCGAAGCCCAGCCCTGCCCAGCTATGGGATCTTGGGCAAGCCAGTTAACCTTTCTGGCCTCAGTTTCCACATCTGGAAGATGGGGATACTTGTTACTATACCTCCCTCTTAGAGTTTTCCTGAGGAATAAGTGAGCTTGCTGTAGTAAAGAACTTTAGAACTGTGCCTGTTACGTGGTAAGCACTGTATAAGAATTGTCTGTTATTGTTACTGTTGCTCTGTTTCTGCCTGTGTCTGTTTGCCCCCTTGTAACTATGATGGTCTCTTGGTTTCCATGTTTTGCCCTGTATCATCCTCTCCATACGGGTTTCCCTGATCTTGGCTCCATCTGCTCAGACTTCCTCTTCAAATTCCTGGTGATTGGCAGTGCGGGAACTGGCAAATCATGTCTCCTTCATCAGTTCATTGAGAATAAGTGTGAGTTTCTGGGAGTGGTCCCGGGAGCACTGAACTGTGGGCGTGGGCATGGCGGGGGCAGGGGCAGGGCTGGCTGCCTGGCCCTCACCTTTGCTAGATCCTCCTTGATCCTCAGTCACCCGAGCAACGAGAATGGTTTTGTACAGGCTGAGGAGGCCTGGGAGGACAGGGAATCTTCTGAGCCCCTGCACTGCCTCTTCTCTCCCTCCCACTCCCAGTCAAACAGGACTCCAACCACACAATCGGCGTGGAGTTTGGATCTCGGGTGGTCAACGTGGGTGGGAAGACTGTGAAGCTCCAGATTTGGGACACAGCCGGCCAGGAGCGGTTTCGGTAGGTGGGCCGGGCTCCCAAGGGAGAGGGGCAGAGGAGAGAGGAGAGAAAAAGAGAGGGAGACAGGGAGTCACAGAGCTGTGTGCAGTCACTTGGAGATCTGACAGGAGCACAGAGACATTGAGAGGGCAGGCAAGGCTGAGGGAGAGAGACAGAGACTGAGTGCATGTGCCTATAGCCAGAGAGAGCAGGCGTTCTGGAGAGAGAGCAGGGGTCCTGGAGAGAGAGCAGGGGTCCTGGAGAGAGAGCAGGGGTAGCGAGGGAAAATGAGTTGAGAAAGAAGCATAACGGAGGAAGAGACCCACGGACCCTGGAGAGACTGCAGTAGACTGACCCATATGGCTGGAGGGATGGAGACTTGTGCCTGGGGAGAGGCGTTTGGGATGAGGGCAGGGGACAGAGGTGGAAAGAGAGAGGTTGGAAGAGAGGGAAACTAGAAAAGAGAGACACTCAGAAAGAGACAAAGAAGGACAGAGACTGAGAAGAAGAGCAAGGGAAGGTTGAAAAGGGACACAGAGAAACAGGTCAGAGCTAGAGACCGGGAGGGTGGGACAGGCAGAGCCAGAGAGATGGAGAAATGGGTGTGTGTGGCAGAGGGGAGAGAACCGTGTGGGGCTCAGCACGCGGTATGTCTTCCGGAAATGGCTGCAGACAAGGTGGTAGATGCGTGGAAACCCTGAGTCTGAGAAACAGAGACAGCGAGAAGAGGGACATGAGGAGCTCAAGTCCATGGAGAGGTGTGGGCCCGGGCCAGCACGTAGAAGCTGCTCAGTTAATAGCGGTGTGTCGATCTGCTGTGTGAGCGAGACAGGGCGAAGGGTAATGCGGCGTGTGCTGGGTTTGCAGTACGTGCTCAGTGAATGCTTGTGGAATGATTGCCCGAGTTCGAGGAGGACCCAGACAGGTGACACGGAGATGCAGGCTGTCGGCCACCCTGGGAAGGGTGCCTCCCTGAGACATGGCAGGAGAGGGACAAGCAGATGTCATCAGAGCACTTGGCCAGGACTGGGCAAAGGGGAGATGGCAGGAAATGAGGAAGGAGCGAATGCATGAGAAATCAAGAGTGAGGATAAGAGAACCAGAGCCGGAGCGACAGACAGACCGACCTAGGAAATGAGAGAGACACACATAAGAGAGACAGACAGAAAGACACAGACCAATAAAGAGATACAGAAAGACAGGGACACACAGAGAGTCAAAGACAGGGAGAGACTCTGACAGAGGCAGACAGACAGCTAAGGGAGACAGAGATTGAGGGAGACAGAGAGAGACCAGCAGAGAAGGAAATTGTGAGACCAGACCGCCGACAGCTTTTGGGGGGATGGGCCAGCAGTAAAGGGGGGGCCTCCGAACCACAAGTCTCTCTCCGCAGAGGGGGGCAATCTCAGGGCAGTTGGGGGTGACTGGGTCCCCCTGGCCCCACAGGTCGGTGACACGGAGTTACTACCGAGGGGCAGCTGGAGCCCTGCTGGTGTACGACATTACCAGGTGGGTGCACTGAGAGGGTGGGGCAGGGCCTGGGCGGGGCCCCTATCCTGTGCCTGCCTCCCTCCCTCCTCTCTCCCTTCTCCATAGCCGGGAGACGTACAACTCACTGGCTGCCTGGCTGACGGACGCCCGCACGCTGGCTAGCCCCAACATCGTGGTCATCCTCTGTGGCAACAAGAAAGACCTGGACCCTGAGCGTGAGGTCACTTTCCTGGAGGCCTCCCGCTTTGCCCAGGAGAATGGTGAGGACCCTGTGGTGGGCCAGTGGGGGAGGGGCCTCAGCAGAGGGGCGGGGGCTGTTCACTGCGGCCCGGGGGCCCCCCGGGCTGTCTGTGGCTGTGCCTAGCCGGGGAATGTGGAGATTGAGGGTCTGGGTTCAAATTCAAGTGTTGCCACCCGTGAGCTGTGTGACCATTCTGGTCCTGTTTCCTCATCAGGGAAGTGGGAATCACAATGCTTCTGCCTCACGTAGCGCGGGCTGGTTAAGGGGGTCGGGCACTGGAGAGCCCTCCGCACTGCCTGGATGCTTGATTAATGTTGGCTGCTAAGAAGCTTTTGACCAGTGCAGGCTGTTGGCGTAACGTGGAGGTTGCAAACTCCGATGGCCCGAGAGGACAGGCCTGTTTTGTGAATAAGGGAGATAGGACAGGGTAGACCCCAAGTTAGCAGGCACTAGCCTTAGGGGCATGGACAGGACCGACAGCCACATCAAAAGGTGTGTGAGTATAAACTCATTTGAAAACTTCGTGTTGGCCAAACACCTACTAGCTCAGGGTTTGTCTGTGTCCCACCAGTTGGTAACCTCCAGATTTGGAGGATGTTTTGCCAATCCGAAAGATGTGGGCTTGAGTCCTGCCTCTTACTTTCTGTGAGGCCTTGTCATGTGGCTAAAGGGTGGACTGTGGTGGGCCTGGGCCTGTCCTAGATGGTGCTGGGGACGTAGCATTAAAGACACCCTGGGCCC